TTTCCTTTAATTTTTTTTTTTACTTTACACAAAGTATTTACCATGTTCACATATGTTCTATTTTTTTTTCATTTTTGTATTTACAATGTGTAAATTTGTGTCCAATCTTCTCACATTAATAACTTTTTTTCTTGAGAAAAGAATCACTTTTAAAATGTCTACCACCACAATCATGGCAAGCATTGTGTACTGACAAAGGTGTATAATCTTTTTTGAATGCTCTGTTATGGTGTTGCAAATGATCTATACTCCTTTTTCTTAAATGTCTCTTTCCTCAATTCTTGCATTATCGAGTTTCAGATTAACCATGTGCTGAAACTCTTCATCCATTTTCTGGAGAGTTAATTTTGAATCCATCTCTAATTTAGACAGTATCTTAGCTCTTATTTCATCATCCTTATTGTACAAATATTAGGCATTTGAATAAATCTGGTGTTAATTCATTCAATTTAAATTTCTCATATTCCCACTTCACTACTCCAGCATAAGGGACAAAATCTTCACTGCCATTCTTTACTAAGTTAAGACATTACCAATGTGTGTTAAATAGTAAGCACCTATCATTGAAAATTTCCAACACAATTAATAGTTTCCTTAAAATTTATCTCATGGTTTTTTTGGCAAATAAAATTCACATACTTTTCATGTTCCTGGTAGGATACACCTTAGCTTTTGACAAACCCAAAGAAGACAGTTTTCTTAATAATAAGCAAACTTCTTTTTTCCATCCTCCCAGTGTAAACAATCCATTTTGAAGATTTCTTTGTATCTTCTATAATATGCTGGAAATGTTATTCCTTCGTTTGGATTGTATAAAAATTTGCTAATTGAATTGGCGACAGTATCTGGAGTGGATAACTTTCCATCCAATGAAGTTCTATGTAATAATAATTCCAGAACTTTCTGTTGTTGTTGCTGTTGTTCCAACATTTGAACCATGACAGACTTTAATTCTTCCATTTTTCTGTAGTCCACTGAGTTGGTTTTTGAATATCCTCACCAGGTTATTTATTTGTAGCTCTGCAAAATTTGTAGTTCCACATGTCATCACTTTTCTGAAGTGGTATATATTCACTGAATATCATGTTAAGAAGTTTTTTTTTCTTCTTGCAAGAGTTTAATGCAAATTCCTTTTCACCATATTTGTGATGTACAGGGCCCATTAATAATTAAGTTTAACTCAAAACTTCAATATTAAAATAAAACATTATTTAATTACAACTGCAAATAAATACTTAACAAGAACAAAGAAGTAAAAGTCATCCAAAGATAATTAACCATTTCAGTGAATACCTTAGTTGTGCAACTTGGTTGAACGTCCTATAAATCCTAAGTCAAAACCCAAATCATCAATGCACAATAATTCACACTAATTCAACTGGATAGTTCCACTAAATAGTCACTCCAGTCAGTAGCCTGGCACCACTATTTATATATCTAACAGTAAACATATATTCATGCATCTAGAGTATCACAGTCATACCTTGGTGTCGGTAGTTACTCATTTTCTTCCTTTATGACAAATTCTTAACACAACACATGGCTGAAACATTCTAAAGGTACTGATGTTGCCAGTATACAGACATTAAATTTTTCCAGTGCCCAATCCTTCAGCCAAATTGTGAACTTCTCCACTCATTTCTGTAACTAAACTGAGCAACCTGCTTCTCTGTTGGATTTATTTCTTATCTCCTCTCTTTGCTCTTGCTGAACGTCGCAACACTGCCCTCTTAGTAACTCGGAACACTCTGTGATAACTATTGATATCTCCTTCCAAGCATCCATTAAACAGGAACTCCCTATCAAAAAAACCTCTTTCTGGTACCAGCATGCCTGATATGGGACTCATTCCAGAGATTTTCTTCATGATGCCCCTTGGACTGACATCTTCAACCCTGTCCCACTGATGTTCCTTCTTGGGCCAAAGTTGCTTTCATCCCTTCTCAGAAATACCAGGTGAAACCATAATCCTCTCCATGTTTCATGACAGCATGCTCAGCAGCCATAGCACACAGAAACCACTATTTCCAGCTATACCAGCAAGACAGCTCTCGTCATAACAGGTCTATTTGCAACTGCTCGTAACAAATGTGTGTTCTCAAAGAATCTAAATCCCTATTTGCTGAGAAAATGAGACACCACATAGCCTCTAAAAACTTTGGCTCTTGTCATTACTGGCATCACTGTAATAGGGTACTGAATAAGTTCAAGGTCTCTATTCCTCACTCCTCAATCGATTTATGGTGCTATCATCCTCTTCTGATAAAGCTGAATGTTTTGCCTGTAAATTCTCTTCAAGCTCTACTCTTGATCCATCTAGTGTATCCCTGCCTAACTTCTCATTTAGAACTGATTCTCTGTTGAGTGATAAGCATGTAATACCTTTCATGATTTCTGCTATCATCTCTAACCTTCATCCCCACAAAGCATGTGGACCTGATACTATTCCTGTAATAGTCATTAAGAAGTGTGCACCCAAACTGGCTCCTTTTCTCTCTAAACTTTATAATAAATGCTTTGCTGCCTCCTGCTTTCCTGCTTGCTGGAAGTCATTGTCTGTTCTGGTAGTTTTTAAGAACTCTAATGAACTGTCTGACCCTTCCAACTATCAGCCTATTAGCCTTCTACCTCTGTTTGGGGCACTCCTAGAGGCCCTAATCAATGCTGTATTAGTTCATCATCTTTCATCATGGGGCCTTTTCTCAGACAAGCAGTACAGCTTTCATTTCTCCAGATCAGCTGCTGATGTACTAATGATAAGTGCAGAAAGAGTTTGTCGTGCTTTAGATAAAAATGGTGTAGCATTGGACATCCCAAAAGCCTTTGACAGGGTCTGGCATTCAGGTCTTCTTCACAAGCTAAAAAGCTACAGTATCTCCAGGCACATTTTTGAGCTGATCCAGTTGTTCCTATCAAATCACAAAATGAAAGTTGTCTGGAATGGCCACTCATCAACATCCTTCATACTAATGCAAATAACCCCCAGGTCTCCATTCTTGGTCCTATGCTGTCTTTAATCTTCATTAATGATGTCAGCTCTCAACTTGGCATCTACACTTTCAACACTACCATTTACTTCTTCCTTGATAGTAAGGCTGATCAGTCCGACAAGGTCAAAGTGGCAGCTGATGTGAAAAATGACTTCAAGGCCGTCATTAATTGAGGAAAAAGATGGCTTGTCAATTTTAACGCCTCCAAAATTAAACTGCTCTCTATTAATTATCTGAGAGTCCCCTCTCTACCTTCCATCAACAGAGCTGATCCTATCCTCCAAGAAAGTGAATCAGTTTGCCTTCTCAGGCTAACATTCTCAGTTGACATGAAGTGAAAAGACTATATTGAATCCATCACCAGATTAGTTGCTAAGAAAGTTAGTTCACTGTGTTAAGCGGGACAGTTTTTCTCTCTGGAATCTATCTTGCATATCTATATGCCTACCATTTGTCCATGCTTGAATTATTGCTGCTATATATGGGCTGGTGTCCCTGGTATTTTTGATAAGCTCCAAAGAATAATCAGCAACATTATTGGTCCTGATCTCATGGCTTGGCTTCATTCACTTGCCCACCACTGTAAGGTTACCTCTCTGTGTCTTTTTTATAAATACTTTCATGGTAATTGTTCATATGAGCTCTACACTATGGTACCTAGATTGTATGAATTTAAGCACAGTACTAGACTAGTGGCAAGATCTCATCAATTTTCAGTTTAAAATCTTCTTTGGCTACCAATAAATTCTCTGTTCATCTTCGTTGAAAAGATTCTAGCATATGCATGCATGGCCTTGGTATTCATACCTGGGAAAGTCTTCCAAAGGTAAGGAAATTGTCTCTTGTGTTCCCTGATGACTTTTTCATGTGCTTTTGACTTTAGTTAATTCACTCTGTTAGCTATCTCTTTTTCCTTTATCATTCTCCTTCTTCTCACAACTATAATATTATAAGACAAAATTTCTGACAAAGCCATTACTATATTGTCAGAAATTAGTTTCACAAAGTACAAAGATATCTGAAGAATGTTTCAAGAGAAAAGATTACAAAAATTGGAATATATTCCATGAAAATTTAAGAAAGAAAGATTGAGGTGGTTTTTCTTTTTTTTTTTTTACTGGTTTACTCTTATTTCTTTTCAGTGTGTCTGCCATGATTTTCTTACGACAAAGACCAAAATAATTATCACTCTCATCAATGGCAATACAAACTGGCCAGAAGGTGACTAAGACTAAAGCCTAATGTTGCCTCAGGGTTGCCCACCAAAAATGCATGTATGTACACCGACCCATGTGCAGTACAAATATCACAATAGTATGTGACTATTGATCAGAACAGCCTAAGTGCTACAAAAGAGTTTGAGCTCCTTACTACCAGTTAGGTGCAGCAACCAGATGTTGTATTGCAGCTCAGATGAGACCCCAGGCTTATTCACAGGGTGCAATTTCTTGCAGTTAAGTTCTTGTGGCTTAAAAATTACCCTTCAGCCAGATTGTTACCCACAAGTGAAAAACAAAACAATTTCTAGCAGTAAACCAGGTTTTATTCTTAGGTAATACTTTACTACTACTATAAGTGAGCAAAGGCAAGTTGAGGTGTGAGTGGGGAGATGTGCAATTCAGCAGTTGTCATCTGTGTTTTCATGTGGCCCATTTCATCCCTTCTGTTTGCTTTTGCACAAGATGGTCAGTTTTATAGACAACCAATGTCCTGTCATCTTTGTCCAAAAAAGCAATTAATCTTCCTTCCATCACTTTCTCTCAGCTTTGCTCTTGTATTGCACTTTGAAGTCGACTCCAATTACCTATAGCCATTGGTCTGAATTAAAATTTCTTGTGGATTTGAGAAAAAAATCCATCAAATATACTGTAGTAACCAAATGATTACTTGTATCGCATCTCGGGTTAGACATGTCTTTCTTAAAGTTACATTGCTTAAAGCAATTGAATTGAATAGTCAGTGGCCATCAAAATTTTTATTAAAAAAGTTTCATTTCTTTCTGTTTTTCAGTCAGTCAGTAGAGGATGCAGATGCTACACAAGCAAAACTTGATCAAATGATTGCTAACTATGCAGATGTTGTCCCTAGACGGCAATATGAAACACTGGAAAAGAAATATGCAGTAAGCAGTTGGAATATTTTATCTTTATCATACTTTTACATACCAGGTTTTTTCAGTAATTTAATTCTGTAGAACTCAAATCAAATTGCCACGTACCAATTTATAACAATTTTAATTACTCCAAAAATGAAGTTTCTCTGTGATATGTAGATTTTTTTACTCAACATATATAAACTGTTTGATCTAACAGAGATAAGAATTAACTTTTATTTTCACATTTGAATTTTTCATATCATTTTATTTGCCAACATATATTCTTAGGTGCATCAATAAGTCAATAGCCCAATGATGAAAACGGTATTTAATTTATACAATAAATATTTATTATCAATATGATTACCTTCCTTGTCAATGCACTTAATTCAGTGGTGAATATGTAGGTACATCAATATGTCTGAAGCCTGATGATTAAAAAAAGCATTTAATTTACATGACAGATATTTATTTTCCATGATTGCTTTCCTTGTCAGTGGGGAATATTAAGCCCATAAATCAACAATTATAGAGTAAAACTTTCCGATCAAAACTGACCTGATAACTATGTGTCAGGTTATAGACTTATCGATTCAGTTATGTTTATAATTAAAGACAGCTTCTTTCCTTCTAAACTTGCCATTTACAAAGACTATAGTAAAAAAAAAAAAAAAATTATTTAAACTTGATTTTAACCCTTAAATGAACTTATTTGGTTTTATTCTAAAATAACAATTTCTGTATGCTGGTAATTTTTAACAAATTAAAATTTTCATATTTGTAATTTTTTAAATTTACAAATTTATATCAATATATCTTCAAACTGACATGTAGTTATCAACTGACTATTCATGTGAAAGTTCCACTATATAGTTTTCAATTTATGTGATTCATATTCACCAATGAATTAGGTGCATTGACAAGGAATGATATTTTATTGAAAAATACATATTTGTTGTATAAAAGTGATTTTTCATTATTAAACAACAGGCTTATTGACGTAACTTTGTATACACTGCTTAATTCAATTTTAACTTGAATTCAGGTTCAACAAATAAATCCCTTTCTTCATTAAGATATAAATATTTACAAAGATTACCTTAATCTCTCATAAGGCTGAAGTAGTGAGATTACCCAGTGAAGTTCAATTTTGCGAACTAAGCAAACCTACAGTAGATTTTCTATAGAGATATCATAGGGGAATGACCTGGCATGACACACCAACAACATGGGAACTTGTGTTTAAACAAGAATGCAATATTCTGACAGAAGCTGACAAAATAATATATTTTTCTCAGCTTATTGTTCATTAATTTGAATATTGCCATTATTCTTATCATTGCTAGATTCATTTTTGAAAACTATAGAAAAAAGATGTAACTTAAGATTTTGCCAATAAGTCTGTAAAGTTTAGGAAACTTCCTTCTCTTGTTAGCATTGTTATGATTACTTTCATAAACTTGAGATACATGAAACATGACATAAAAGTATCTCATCAAATTCACTCCTTAATAGATGTTCTACTACAGTAACCTCTTGTCAGACAGGGTTAAAATCTTATCAAAACAAAAAAATCTGCTACTATATCTAACATTATATAGTCTGCATAGTTATCAGTATTATAAAAGCTTTTTATATTGTTGTCTATTCTTTAAATCAAAATTCACCAAATGAAAGGAATTAACAAATGGTCTTTCCTGAATATATTAACCAGAAATTCTAATGAATCCATATGGAGTCGTCATTTTCACTTTTACTATGAAATAATTTACACAGTCCAATATTTTTCCAATAAAAATGCAGATGATTTCATTTCTCAGAAACATCTTTGCTATTAATGGAACTGAAGCATTATCTTTTCAGTTCCATTAATAACAACTAAGGCACCAATCACATTCATCTTGAACAAGTTTAGAATGGATATCGTTAAAGTGAATTATGTAAATTTTGCAAAGTTTTCAATTTTTCTTTTTTTTTTCTTTGCAGGAAATGAAAGAGAACAATGAAACTTTATCAAAAGACTTTAGCATATTGAAAGCTGAACACAAGTAAGAATTCCTGTCATATTTTTGTTAAATTGTTTGTTTAAATGGAATATTATATTTGTAAGTTTAAGTTTAATTATAGAAATGACAAAAAACGGATTCATTGTATAAATATCCTAACAAACGGCTGACACATGTTGCTGGAAATATATCATATTCTGAAATATTGGGCTATCCAGAAAGCTCATGTCAATTTTTATGCTTACATTTCCAATTAGAGCATGCTTCAAACTATCACTTAAAAAAGAAAGTTTAAAATTACTTAATTCATGTCAGTTTTGCACCCCTATGAAAATGGAAGATGATAAGATACATTTTAGATACGTGATGATTTTACAAAAATGCCTTGCAAGCAACAAAAAAGATATGTTCTACATATGGTGAAGGTGCTTTAGCTGACAAAACTGTACAGAAGTGGTTCACTAAGTTTAGAGTTGGTGATTGTAGCTTTTCTAATGAAAAATGCCGATGCAGATGACAACCAAATCAAGACATTGAGCAGTTAGTGAAGTTTGGGTACTCAAATTGCTACAATGTTTGGGGTACCACAGGACCAGAACTGGCAAAGAGGGAAGGTCTTTGTTTTTCCATCAGGATAGTGCCAGACCTCACATTTCTTTGCCAACCCGGTAAAAATTGTGGCAGATTCGCTGGGATGTGCTACCCCACCAGCCATATTCACCAGATATTGCATGTTTGGATTTTCATTTATTCAGTTCCTTGCAAAATAATCTCAATGGTAAAAATTTTAATTCTTTGGATGACATAAAAAAATCACCTTAATGAGTTCTTTGCTGAGAAACCACCGAAATTCTGGGAAGATGGAATCTTTAAGTTGAAAGAATAATGGAGAAAGGCTGTGCAACAAAATGGTTCATATTTAGTTGAATAAATATTTAATGGAATAACTTTGTTTTGTGTTTTAATTTCCCTTAAAAATCAGCACAAATTTTCAAGACAACCCAATACAATATGTAAATATCTGATACCCTGGAGTTAAGATGATTCAACATATGACACTATTAGCCAGAAGAAAAATAAACGAATAAATGATAGAGAGTTTAAGACAATTATCTCTGGCATCAGTAAGAATCAGGCTTCATTGATTGGTTTGATAGCATCAGCATATGGTCACATTATATCATTAGGAGGTTGTATATTCCGATCCATGGGTTAACATTGTCATAAAAAAGAAAGATAAGAAAATAAAAGAAAACGGTGTTGTCTATCAAAGTGGAAATAGCAGGCTTTAATGACTTATTATTTGATCGTGTATTGTTCAATATAACAAATTATCAGGGAGAATACAGGGAATTTTCTTATAAAAGGAGTTTCCTTCTCAAATTTTGATGTGATAATGTTTTGCTTTTTAGTGAACATGCTGGCTTGAAACTGCTAAGAATGAATGAGCAAAAAAAAATGGAAGTCTCTCTCTCTCTCTCTCTCTCTCTGAAAAGTAGTTGGCAGCATTTTCCTACTAAGAGCAATAAAAGCAATCAATTCCAGCTATATATGTACTGTGCCATTTAGTGCCACAAGAAGGAACCTTTCTCCCAGTGAAAAGATAACTAATTTGATTTTAATCAAGAGGTAGAAACAAGTTAACTTTAGTATATTGGAAAACCATGGAAATTAACATATCAACACAACCGACTTGGTCTCTATCAAACAACAATGGTACTTACCAAACACCTTTTCAAGTTACTACGATGATCCCAACTTGTACAAAGAAGTTGTTAGCTGAACCAAATGTACCAACAGCCACACATGACTAACTACCTATGATATTGTAACAGCATTACACTAACCATTGTATATGGTTTAGTTTGGATTAATGTTTTCATCTTTGCTGTTTGGTTTTTAATGTTTCGTGCAGGTACCCTCCAGCCTTCTTCAGGTATCTGAGTGAATGTGAAGCTCAGTGGGGGGGTCACAGTAGCTGTGTAATGGTTATGAAGAGATAATTACAAGAACACACAGATCCATAAACATGATATAAGAGAGGATGCTTCCCTAGAACATGATTCAACATTCTAGAACACAACAGACACTCAAATGTCAGATTAGCTAAAAAATGATTCTTTTTATATAAATTTAAAAAACTTTTACATTTTAAAAAAACACAGAAGGAAACAATTTCATTTTTTCTAATCTGAAAATACACTAGACAACATTCAACAAGTAAATCTCAAATTTAATCCATAAACTGACTTATCAGGATTATTGCTTAAATAAATGATTCTTTTGTATAAATTTAGTGAAACAGAGCTTTACATTTTAAAAATATAGCAATAGATATTTTTTATGAAATTCCAATTTCATTTTTTTCTACTTACTGCATAAATACACTATTTTTTTGGTTCAGTTGTACCCACTTGAACTTAATCCACATTTACTGTTACCTTTTGCTCAATTTCAGAAATAGATAATTTTTCAATTTTTATTTAATAATCATCCCAAAGTTCAAGACTATTGAGACTATCAATTCAGATATGCCAAAGAAAAGCTATAAAGTGTTTCATTTATGTGATGAGAAAAAAAATTATATACTCTGATTCCCAAGATCTAATCTAAGAATGAATCTTCTTTTTGTCATAAAACATTTATTATAATATATTGTTAATTGTTCTATGTCAGTCTCTTACTGTGGCTAATTTATAAATTAAATTATATGCACGGAATAAAATTATATATAGAGGCAAAGGCAAAAAAGCGAAAACGCTGGGAAAATCAAAATCTGTTATGAGTCCAAATATATATAAAATTTGGTACTCTAAGTGGTTGCTGGCATCTTCCTGGAGTTCTTGGAACCAATCCCCAGTTGATAAGATGTTGACTATTTTATTTAATTTAAAAAAACAAGGAAAAAGCATAATATATATATAAAATTTGGTACCTAAGTGGTTGCATCTCCTGAGTTCCTCAATTTCTGGTGTAAATTTGTAAATTGCACAGGAGATTTCCTTGCATCTGACACAAGGAAAACATGAATGATAAAACTGACCAATTTTTGAACCTGAAACAAAATTTTCTCATGTATAAACCCTAAGTACATTCATTGATATATATTTAAAAGGTTTAAAAGGATTTCTCCTGATTATATGTGATACTCACATTAAAAGATAGCAAAATACATTTCTCAGAAAAAAAGAAGAACCATTTCCTGCTTCCATTTTTCAGAGCACTGCAAGATGTCAATCAAGAACTTACTGTGGAAATGACGAATTACATGAATGAATACACAAGCAAGAAAAAAAAATTAGCAAGGTAAGGCATGGTTCAGAAAGGCTCTTACATTGAGATTTACTTAACATAGCTTAGATGTGGCACAAGGGCACAAATATGGAGCACACATTGAGGACCGAACTCATTACTCAGTTGTAATTGATCTAGTCTGACAAGCACATTAACCATTACTAAACATCACATGACCAAAAAAGTCTTCTAGTAAACTTGAAACTTTCACTATTTTTTTAATCATAAACTAACAATTTCCAAATGTTTAATGATTATTTATTAAATTTAGTAAGTTAAATATTATGATGTCTCTTATTTGAGAACACTTGATTATTTCTTAATATGCTAGAATTAATTTTCTTTCTTTCAAAATGAAAACTGTACATATAGAGTCAATTTACTATTGCCTACATGTATGATGTGCCTATTGTTTAATAAAAGGAGCATTTAATTCACACAACAAAGTTACATTTTTCACCATTAATATTTTTGTTGCCAATACATTTTATAAAATAATGAATATTAAACATATAAAAAATAGATTATACAGGAAAAATAAGAAACTTTTAGATCATACCTACTACATGTCAGACTATGGTCTTATATATATATATATATATATATATATATATATATGGTCTTATATATATATATATAAGACCATATATATATATATATATATATATTTTACTGAATATATATGCATATATGGTCTTATATATATACCATATATATATATATATATATATATATATATATATGGTCTATATATATTTATATATATATATATATATATATATATATATATATATATATATATATATATAGTTGCTTCTTATGTATATGTATACATATATAGGGATGCATGGTGGAGTACTGGATAGTGGCTCAGATTGAGTTGTACTTAAAAATACAAAGTTATATTACAATACAATCCTAAAATATATAGATATAAAAGTATAAGTGATAAAAGAGAGTTCTTAGAACAGGGGACAATTATAAGATATAATAAATAGGGTGTAAAAATGGAAATATAAAAATTAGAATTACTTATACATTCAACATTTGAAAAGTCAGAGAAATATAGTAGCTGATAAAGTAAAATTTATATTATGGAAATTTGAATTTGTTTTTATGTCGACATTTTAATACTAATTCATTCCTTTGATTTAATAGTTAGCTTTGATTATTGTATTATTCTAATTTGTTCTTCTAAACTTAAGTCACACTTATCTATAAAACTATTAGGAGTATGTGCGGAACCTATAATCTTCCAACCTATCTGTGGATTCAAACCTTTCTTCTTCAATTCCCAAAATTTTGTTGAAAGAGCTGTCTGGTGTTTTAATTTAGGGTTAGTAAAAGAGTGCCTATGATATAAAATCTCTGTTTCAATTCCCCCACAAAAATTCCATTGTAAACATTATAATTTTTCATATTTTCTTTGGGGGAAATGGTTGCTAAATATATATAACCCTGGTAGATCTGCATTGCCCTCTACTGGACAAGTTTCTTTATATCTACAATTACAGGAGGATTCAATACCAAGTTTCTTGTTTATCCCCTAGAAATTTCTTAAAATATAGTTATTATGAGAGTTGATAAAAACTGACCCATGCCCTTTATGCCTACATGAAAAACTACACATTATTAAGTTTCTAAATAATAAAAATTTATTAAACAATAGACATGAGTTAACAGTTTTTTGCCGACATCATCAAATTTTCACATTGAATAATTAGCATAAAAAACAAACAAACAATAAAATAATAAATACAAATTTTAAACTCCATAGTCTAAATAAAAAGTTTAAAAGCCCTACCCAATAAAAAAAAAAAACAAAAAAAAAACCTTTATGAAGTCGTCAAAAAAAACAAATGTTAGCAAATTATGACAGTTTTTTATATACACAAAACCCTTTCAGGGGAAAAAAATAAAAAAATAAACAAATCTCCATAGACACTTAACCAGACTAGATGATGTCCTCTTCTGCTTTAAATTTAGACACTCCAACCTTAACCTGACTTGACCTCTTTGAATGTAACTGAGATATTGATACAAATTATTAACCCTTACGCCCCCCCCCTTTTTTTAAATAATTACTATAGTAATTTTAATTTTAATAATGAATATGCTTATAAAAATGCGTAAATTTCAAGAATTAGTTATTCCAAAAAATATTTTGCTTGAAAATGTAACAGAGCTTGGTTCAATTTAATTCAAATAATTATATTGAAGTTTTCAGCTCCTGTTTTGAAACATGAAAACTCTTATGTAGCAATGGAATCATATTTTTAAATAAATAATTATATATATATATATATATATATATATATTTATATAAAGTAAGAAAATCTTAAAAAAATTAAAATTTTAACAGAACATATTTTTATGAAAGTGAATTTTCTTTTCAATTTGAAGAAAACATGTTTCTTGTAACATTTATTTTTTATTGTTTATTTGACTATTTGTCCTTTCTAGTCAGTTTTTACTCTTCAGTCTTAATGATAACATAGCAAATCTTCTATATTCATGTATTATTGACCATTAAAATAATCAGATAACTTATTTTTAGCTTGCATGCAAACATGATAGTATTATATCAGCTTTTTGCATTGAAAACCACATTCTTCTTCAAGAGATGATCTCCAGGTCAATGTTAATCTGAAACAAAATTGAAAGTATTTCCTTAATGTGTTTAGGCTACAAACAAGACAGATATCTTCATAGTCCACAAGCTATAACTCTATTCATTACTTTTAATTCTCTCTTCCTTCTGATGGTAGAATAATGGAATTTAAGAATAGCTTTATGAAGACATTCGTACAGGCAATCATATTTTTTTTTAATTTTCCCTATCATAAAAAATGACATAATTTGGGATAATGCTCTGTCACTTTCTATAACTTGATTTTAATGTAATTCATTTGAATTCTTTTTCCAAAACAGGCCTCCTTGGGTGAAGCCCTGCCAATTCATAAACCCTGAAAACAACTACTTTGAAGGTATCTCTTCCCAAAATATTTGTGAAAATCTTTTGGATATTTTGCGTAACATGGACAAAAATGGAGCAAGGATTTTAAAAAAGGAATCCGTCTATTTTGATGGCAAGGTTTGTTCTCATCAGACATATAAGATAAACTTAAAATTTACTCTGTAATATTTTATCACTAATTTTGTCTGAATTTCTTTGATGAAATATTGCTACTATTATACATTGATTCATTATAATTAGTTTCTTCCTTTTTTTATCATATTATCTTAACACTTCATTTGTCGTACTCTCCAGCCTTGTTATGGAAGTTGTCTGTTGCATTCACATGATGATTGCCATTCAACATTCCTCGAAGATTGTAGAATATAATAACAGACACATAAGGAAGGTCAAAGGTTTCAACAGCTGCCACATGGCAAAAACAAAGAAATTGATCTGATTGATCTTATAATTGTATTCATATTATCTTTCTTTTCTTTTACACTTATGCTTTCTCCAATTTTGGAATTTTAATTTTGCTTATAGACACTTTCAAGACATTAGATAAAATTTTAAAAGGGCCAGGCATAGAATTTTCACAATCTATTTCAATTAAGAATAATTCTCAACTTTTGTACTCATCACTTTCACTTGCATCAAAATATTCACACTGTTTGTAAAAAGGGACGCTAAAAATGTCTCTCATATAATTTCAGTTTTGGATTTTATTTAGCTAAATCACTTTTTGAGTTGAGAAGTTTAGAATTGTTTGACAATGTTCCAATCCTTGAAATGGTTACCATATTAAATCTTGATCAGAATGAATTGCAACCTGAAAACCAATTTACAAATGACAAGCCAAGAAATTCTAGAGTCATTTGGCTGTACTCACTTCTCCAGTCTGGGTTATTTTGATGGCCAATCAGCAAAGTCTGAAGTTATTATGCTATAAATAACTTGCATTTACGTTAAACAATTTTTGTCAAATTTTAAATGAGGAATTTAGAAACCAAAGCTTAAATTTTTATGTATTTTCAAGATGTTTTATTAAAGTTATACAAAATCAGAAAAATCACTTTTTACTTCAATAACAAGGTAATAAAATCATCAGTAATTGATCAACACCTCTAATAGAACAAATAGCAAACATATATGGTAAGCCTTTCAAGCATTTACATCTTTTTCTCAATAACAAGCAGCAATTTATTAACCATTGATTTTGTTAAATCTTTTACTTCAGCAGGTTCCAATTCCAACATGGTGATTTTAATTGCTTCCCATAAATTCGCTTTGCTGTCATATTGTTTGCCACCTTTATACAATTTCATCTTCACAATTGAACTGATTCAGATCAGAACTTGATAGTGACCATTCTATCTTTTCTCTTGTAAATCTTTTATGCTCAAAAATTCATTGGTAACCTCATATAGTTGAGGGCATTTTCACTTCACTTTGAAACTGCAAGGCTGGGATTTGTATCATTCAAAGAAAGTCTTATCCATGAAATTGCAATAGTTACCACTGTTCAGTTTAACTCCTTCATTGATTTTGAATGCTTCAATAGTAGTTTTTGGTCAGTCGATAATTCCAGCCCATATCATGAATGAATGAATTTGTTGAATATTTCTACACTGTTTCTTTTTCTTTCAATAATAATAATTTTTATTTTATTGTGTAAAATGTGTGTCACTTTTCATATTCAATAAATTGTTTCAACTGAAGAATTTCATGTTCAAGATTCTGTTTTATTTTATCATTTTGAAATTCAAGTATAGCAAATGTTATTTTAAGCCATTTCATTTGTGTTATTTGGATGAATATTTCTCTTGTGAGTCATCTATCTATACATTTTAATAATAACATTTTATAATTTTATTACATTGACGTCTCATGAATTGTTTTCCTTTATACTAGCCACAGAGAATTCCAATCAGTCATTATCATGACATATTTTTTAATTTTTTGTAGGTTAACTGGCAGGTAAAAGTTGACGCTATCATAATCAAATAATATTGCCATCAGCTTTTCAAGTGCCAATTAGATTATGAAATTCTTTATTTTTATATCATAAAGTGAACATTGTCTCTCTTTTAAAAGTTAAAAAAAAATTCTTGAATCATAAATATTGTATAAGATTTGTTTTTAAATTTGTTACCAACTATTATAAGGGGCCCTGTTTTTATAGTACAGATCTTTCACCAAGCTTAAGAGCCAAAATGGCAGCAGTGGGAAATTAAAAGAAATTTTGATGACTCTGGATCAGGCTTGATTTACTGCAAATCTATCAGTTCCTTACAAAGTAGTCAGGCATTTAGCAGTTTTCTCTGAAGTGAAAAGGGCTGTGAGTTTGAATCTGAGAGCCTGTCTTCTATAGACATCTTTTCTCTTTACTCAGTACAATAGAACTGATGGCCTAAGTAAAATTACACTAAAAAATCAATTAAGAATTAATATGAAGGTAAATACTAATCAAAATTATTTATAGTAAATATTTTCATTCATAAGAATCAATATATATAGAATTGTATGCAAACAAAATTATAGAATATAGATAAAAAAATTGATATATGCAATCTGTTAGAAAAATACTTGCCTAGTTTTTACCGTTTCATTGGGAACAGACTATAGTCATATATACAGAGTAGGCTACATAATAATTAAATGGAAAAGAATTGTAAAAATTGAGGGAAGAAAGCTAAATAAAAATGTAAATGAAATCTGGAGAAATGTGTGTACACACACACACACACACACACACACACACACACACACATATATATATATATATATATATATATATATATATATATATATATATATATATATATATATATATAACTTAAAAAACTAAAACTGCAACTCCAAAAATGTGATTTATGCACTCAAGTGCACAAAATGCAACAAGCCCTATATAGGTATCACCCAAGCACTAAGCAACAGAGCTTCCCTTCACAAATGCAACATTAAATTACCAGACAACAGAAAGCCCTTTGTGTCACAACATATCTACAAATACAATGAAAGTAAATTTAAAATTATGCCAATATATCAGACAGACAATTATTCTTACCTACAAATACAAGAAAAACTTCATAGACAAATTTAAACCAGCACCAAACAAATTATAACCCCACCACACACATAAACATACACCATACACACATAGTGGCTGAACACATTAGCTGGGCCACACACACACACACCCCCCATACAAATATGTACGGAGAATGAACATATACACGCATACTGGCAAAACAAACACCCTAGACGGATCACATGCACATGCACACACATGACTCCTACACACCATACAAAGTGTGTATATATATATATATATATATATATATATACTAGCAAAAACCCATATACACACAATACACAAAAATGGAGATAGGTTTAAAAAGATACAGAGATCATAAAATGATAAGAACAAAGAGCTCCTTCCTTCCTGCCCTTTCTCTGACAAATCCTAATTGTCTTATTGCCCTTTAAGCAGAAGAATATTTTCCCCCGCAAGAAAAATTTGGATTACTACTACCCATAAAAGACAATATGGGAAAACAATTAATTCCTTTAAATGATATGTTGAAATAACCATTCTTTGCCTGCTGAAGGTCACAAGACCTGAAACACTTGTAGCAAAAATGTGGAAAATAAAGTATAATACATATTTAAAAAAATCATCCACATTATAACCAAAAATGTTTCCAGCTTCTTTGTTCTCTTTAAAATAAAGACACACACACATTTTATATATATATATATATATATATATATATATATACATATGTGGTGCAGTTCAATTTATATTACATGAATCATTCATACAAAAAGTAGATTAGTAAAGTTAATGATATAAATGGCGAAAAACATTTATTAAAGTTACATTAACCCATGAACCTCTCGATGAATGTTATGATCCTTGTTTTTAATAACTTCAAGTTGTATAAGGTCTTTTTTTATTTTGCTAGTACTTTCAGCTGTACTTACAGCCATCCTCAGGCATGGAAATTAATTTGTTTTTTTAGTAAATACAGGTAGTAGCGGGACACGAAAGATGAAATGTTAATCAAAATATGTTTTTTTAGAAATGTGTTATTATTAACAGATAAGAAATTTTGGAGTGTGCAGGTGCAACGCTATGGTTGAATTCTTTTTTTAAATTTAAGAGAGTGCATTTTTTACTAATATGGTAATTTGAGAATTTTTTTCTTGTAGGAGTTTTTCAGTCAATGTGGCATGAACGAAAGTACTAGCAAAATAAAAAAAGACCTTATACAACTTAATTTAAAGTTTAAGTTATTAAAAACAAGGATCATAACATTCATCGAGAGGTTTGTGGGTTAATGTAACTTTAATAAATTTGTTTGCGAAGATGTTTTTTGCCATTTATATCATTAACTTTACTAATCTACTTTTTGTATGAATGATTCATGTAATATATATACACACACATTGCCCAAATTGAGGAAATAGCCTTGACTATTTCTCAGACTTGAGCAGACTTGAGCAGATGATCTAAGATGGAAAGTAAGACAGATACTGGAAAAACTAAGTCACCCAAATCAAACATCACAAAACTGGAGAGGCTGATAATCAGAACCCTACAGAGGAATGACAACATCATCATACAAAGACAGTGTAGCTGTAATGATGGACAAATCAGAATATATAGAAAAACTGGAAGACCTCATTATTAATGGTACCTATAGTAAAGTAAAGAAAGATCTAACAATAAAAACAGAATGAAAACTGTTGCAGATCCTAATCAAGAACAAGGACTACTTCACACTTAAGACATACAGGCAGTTGTCACATTACAGCAAACTATCTTACATATACAATCCCCCCCCAAAAAAAAAAATTCACACAGATCATTTTCCACTCAGGCCAATTGTTAGCTGTCAAGGCTTTGTGTGCCACCCTCTGAGTCACTTTCTTGTGGATATAACTGACCTATTAATAGGAAAGTCAGTGTTATATGTCTGAACCTCTACCCACTTCATGGAAATAAGGATGCTCTCATCCAATCCAACCAGATGGTGAGCCTGGATGTGGTGAGTTTGTTCACCAAAGTACCCACAGAATAGGCACTATCAGTAGTCAGTGACACACTGGCTTTGGATTCATCCATAGGA